TTTTATTATTATAGTTATTTCAACTAAATGAAATTGAGAAATGTTGCATCGGCAGCTAGCTGAAATAAATTAGGTTCTATATTTTATTTTATTATTTTCGATATTCAATATTTTATTTATTTATTATTTTTCCAAGTATTATTTTTTATGGTTTTAGTAAGAGACTTCTAGACTTCTTTAAAAAAATAAATAAATAAACAATCTTATTGACCCCTAACTTTTGAACAGTAGTGTATTTAAGTTTCTTATGTATTTAAGTTTCTTATACCAAAAGATGGCAGGTATATTTAGAGTAGTCTGTGAGTTATTAAGGAAAATGGAGAAAAGCGTCACACTGTTCTCCCCTGCAATACAGCTGCCTCGCAAACATTAAAAAACCTTATATGTCCCTGCCGGCTGCGTTCTCACTGAAATGCATCGTAAATACATCACAGGGGAGCTATTTACAGAGACCTATTGTTTCTGCGTTCTCCATGAATACCTCGTCTCACTCTCTTTTATCTCTCTTGTTGTGTTCTCATCTATTACCGCATCGACCAACTTTTCCTCTTTCTCTGCCAATCGAAATCACACCGTGACCATGTGAATGCTCTCCACTGACGATCACAATGGAGCTTAATGGAAATCAGTCAATCATTTCTGCCCTGTTGTTGAGAGGTTTAGTCGATGCAGTGCCGGCATTTTCCCACAGCCGTTTCAGTGACACATGGCGCTGCATGTGGCCCACGGTGCACCGTTCAGGGGACATAATGAGCGTTCTGTAGACAAACTGGGTCAGCTGAGGTTGTTTTTAGCTAAACAGTTATCCACCCCTCCTCCCTCTCACTTTTTACGTTACACCCAGATACACATGCAAGGAAGCTGCACAGCGATGACTGCATTTTGACCTCCACATATGCATCCTGCCACTGTCATTAAAGAATCAAGAGAGGGCCGAATCTAGTTTCATCCTGTTCAGTCATCTCTGGCCTTGCTTTTGTGTCATCCGAGCAAGTCCCGACAAAAGAGCCAGTGTGTTTCATACTTGACTCTTGCATTATTTACCAAAGAGCTGTGAGCTGGTCATGTGACCCGAACAGGAGGGAAGTTACTACAGTCAACTGTATGAGACGGCAGAGCTTCTGTTTTTAGACCGGGGAACCCAAGTGTTGAATGAGTCTAACCTTGGTGGAGCAATTTCTAGTCAATACTCAGGATGTTGTGACAAGATAGAAGAGCAGGGCCGTGACCAGCCGTTGATCAATCTTTTTTTATTCTGATACTTACTTGGAAAAGCATGCTACATGCTACAAAAAATTGTAGGATGGAGCTCGTGCGCGGATTTCCTTTGCTCTCGCACTAAACCGGACTTAAAACATGTCTCTCCTCTCGCTCAAACTGTGTCCTGTCCACTCACAACTCTTTCTATGCTCATGCTCTATTAATTATTTTCTGTGAATGCATATATGCATCTCTCTGTAACGTACTTTGTAAAGACTGTTTGTAAAGCCTTAACCAATCAGACCTCCACTCAACTGAATTTAAAATCATTGCAATAAATTCTCAGTTGGTATGATGGCAATAATAAGTAACAATTCCTATCAAATCAACATCAACTGCAAAAATAGATGTAAATGATGCAAGATATGTTCACAATAAATGTTCCGATAGCATCGCTGTTTGGACATTTATTGGGAGGTTTTTTTTTTCAGTGTTTGTTTTCAGTTCTGATTTTAGTTAGATTTTTTTTGTGTGTGTGTGAAAACCCTACTTCATATTAGCTACACATTCAATGGCACTCTCCTCTAAAACAGTGAATATACAGTTATATGACAGTTACATGTAATTACACTGACTGTAAATGCATTAAACACATAGCATATAATATAATGTATTACAAATATATGAGAAATTCATTATAGTGTTATATTTGGTCTCCAAATCGTAAGTATCGGTATTAAGTAGGCTATCTTATGTATTGTGTATCAATCCAAGTACACCATAATACATATATGACCACAAGAACTTCATATGCTTCTTTGTTTGTGTTTAGATAAATCGTTCAGAGAGGTTTTACCAAACTGTTAAACTAGGTTATTTCCAAATCTTCCAAGCTCCCGATTGATTTCTAATATTTGATTATTATGACTAAGTAGCCTAGTAGTATTAAATTGTAAAGAAATTACAGATCCATCTTTGAAATCTGATTGGTTGATAACTTTTGGCAACGTTTAATTCAGATGCGAAAATAATGAATATCTAGCCCATGAGCATAGAGAGATTTGTGAGTGCACAGGACACAGTTTGAGCGAGAGGAGAGACACGTTTTAAGTGTCCGAGTCCGGTTTAGTGCGAGAGCAAAGGAAATCCGAGCGCGAGCGGAGAAATTCGCGCTCGCGTGTTATATTTATGTGCTTTCGTGCTACAATAATGCACTCTCGACTAGGGCTGGACAACAATTCAATATCAATATGTATCGCGATATAATTTTTTTCAATAACGGTGATATGATTTTTAAACACATTTCCGATATTTCGATATACATTACCAGTTTCCTATACATTGATTTATTTGTGCAGTTTGACTTCGTTGAATAAACATGAGCACTGCACGTTTCAAAATCAAAACACGTCG